TCCTGCTGATTTGGCTGGAAATTACAACATGCCTTAAACTATTTTGGCTGCTTGAAGGTATTTCTGAGTTGTTAAACATAGTATTGAAGCTTAAACTCTTGAAATAATATTCAGTTTGGAGAAATGCCCCTCAACTGTGCTTTAGATGTTTTATGTTACCAGTATAGCTAAGTGTATTTAAGGGATTAAGCTGTTACGTGATTGTCACATACACTCTCGTCTATACAGAGCTGGGAATGTAAATGTAATTTATCACCATAGGCTGAAAATTGTCCTTTCTGATCCCTGAGGAAAAGTTTGCTTCAGAGGTATTTAAGGTTACTGCTTATATATATGTAAATGAATTGGCTGACCTTCACATTTTAGGTCTCAGCAGTACTATGTGATGATGAAGTTATGCTGACCATTAAGCCTGGTGAACATGGATCTACATATGGAGGAAATCCATTAGCTTGCCGTGTTGCGATGGCAGCACTGGAGGTTTGTGTGTTGTAACAGAGATTTGGATTCCAAAGAAAAAAGTGTGTCACACTGACATGCTTAAATAAATAATCTTATGCTACAAGTAGAAATTTAGCTTTAAGTAAGAATGGAAAATTGGTAGTGTTTGCATAGATCACAAAACAAATTCTAAAGTCTTCACTGGAAATGTGTCCTAATTTCTGTGTATTTTATGGTCTTAACGTTTTAAATGGCAGAATATCTAGGGGAAGCTTCAAGGCACTTATGTAAATTTGGTAAAATAGTTTCACTAATTCGACAAAGACATTTTTAAACTGGCTTATTTTACTATACCATATTGCAGAAGCTACTGCTCTGTGAGCTTCATAATACATACATGCTACTGGAGCTCAGACAGAAGATAGTAAAGTGTCTTCTCCAGAGTCCCTATTTTAATTATTCTGTGACTGTGTAATTGCCCGCATTTAATACAAGTCACTCAGAAAGCCTCATCATTACCCAATACGTGAATCTGGACAGATTGAGTCTTCAGAGGTTTACTGTTTACTTGTAAATAAATGACAAATGAAAGGCAGTTAATTTAGAATAAAATTTCAAAGAGATTATTGTTTCTTGTAAACATGAATGAATAAAGGCCTAATGCTAATCTGCTTGGACAGATGCTTCACAGTGACGCTTTGGATGTAACAGCTTTTGTATCTCAGCAATTGTAATGTCATTAGTCGTCTGTTCCGGCATGGTACATAAAACAAATTCAGTGCTCTTTGGTTGACTGTAGATCTGACTTCCCTTTAGGTAATTGAGGAGGAAAACTTGGCTAAAAATGCAGAAATAATGGGTAACATCCTACGAAATGAGCTCATGAAGACACCATCTGATATTGTAACTTCTGTAAGAGGAAAAGGACTATTAAATGCAATTGTAATTCGGGAAACCAAAGGTAAGGACTGCATGATAATAGCATGAAAAAATATTTTTAATTTAAATTGAAGGTATCTTAATGGTGTAGAGGGGATGGCTTATAGGCCTCGTGTTCAGGTTCAAATCTTGACTATAGTGCTGTAGTACCTACTGAAAACTTATTCAAGTGACTGTGTGCTATTAAAAATAGTGGTTTTTTCCTAAGTCAGTCTGAACATTTAAAAAAAAATTATTTTAATTATTTTATGATTTGATAAGGTTCAGACCTGATGGTGAATCTATCTCCTAACAAATACCCTTTTGTCTCCTCACCTGAAGAAAACTGGCCACATCTGCAAAGGTAGTTTCTGTCAGATTATGGGAGGATTGGCCGAGGTTGGTTGTTCCAGGATAATTAGAGGAGTACAGTGAATACAGGATGGTACAAAGAAGGAAAAAGCTAATGGCTGAGAACAAGTTTCTAGGGATTAACACCTTGAATTATATCAGAAAACTTCTTGGAAGCCAGAGCAGACAATTATTTTTGTAACGAATATGCTGACAAAGTGCTGCAGGGAGGTGTTGTAATTTCCCAAGACCTGCACATGATGGACTGAAATCCAGGCATAAGTGTAACCTCATCTGAAGTCCTATGCAGATGTTCTTTTACCTCCCCTTTGCGTGGTTCCCTGTTTTAAAGTTATTGCTACCTCCAGACAAGCACTCAGCCGTGAAGGAGCAAAACTCGGTGTACTGGAGGGAAACTTGTGAATCCCTTCAGACAAACTGCAGTTTTGCAGCAGTCTTGCACATTCACTGCAGATTCAAAGGAGTTGCTCAGATGGTTGGAAGTGACCACTTCATTTGTGAACACACTTTATCTTTTCACTACCAGGTGGCAAACAGTTTACAATCTGGCCCCACGTACCATGTGCTGCAATTGTGCCACTTTTTCTGCTACAGTGTTAAGTGTCGTCTTTCTTTTTTCCTTAAATTGTAGACTATGATGCCTGGAAGGTGTGTTTGCGGCTTCGTGATAACGGACTTCTTGCCAAACCTACGCATGGTGATATCATTCGACTGGCACCACCACTTGTCATTAAGGAGGATGAAATCAGAGAGTGCATCGAAATAATTCATAAGACCATTCTGTCTTTCTGAACACATGACTTTTAAAGTATATCTGTTGGCTGACCCAAGGTGGTATGTGATGAAGGCCTGCTCTTGAAACAAGCATCTCTCATTCCTTCTATCTAAGAGGACTTAACTCTAAAATGTAGCTATGTCTTTAAATTATAATGGCTCTGAAGAAAATTAAAGAGTTTCCAATCTTGGAATACTTGGAAATAAAGTGGTGAGGTTCTGTTCATCTAGTTGTGTACCTACTGAACAGTTAAGTCAGAATGTTTGAGGGGAGATATCTGTAGAAATCTGTTAATTGTTGAAAGTCTTGGCCAAAGTTTAAAAATGTAATTTATATGTATTGTAGTAAAGGTGGTCTTGCACTCTCATATGACTCTCCAAAATATCACATTTGGCATTTTTGCCTCTTGATGAGATGTCTGTAGGGTGGAAGCACTTGTCGTGATGGATGAGTTTCTGTTTCTCATTTGTAGCTAGAAAAAACTTCTAAAGCTGAAGGTTCGACAGACTGGATGTTATGCTGGTGAACTTGACAATCATCGAGCTGTGTTCTGTATGTACAATATTTTGATTGTATGATAAGAGATGCTGTTTTCAAGCCTGATGTCAGTGTCTGGCTTTGCCATCTTGTAAAATAGATCTAAGCATATAGATCTGTTTTTACTGTTATAAAACTTTCTATAATCTGGATGTTTATATTAAAACATGCCTCGCATTAAGAAATGTCAATGTGCAAGTGAAATACACAGTGTACTCAAAAAGAGCAAGCCCCACAGAAACTTGCAGTTGTCTCTGTCCAGAGCCACAGCGAGTGCTGCCTTTTGTAGTGTATGTGTTTCTATCAGTCTCTATATGGAAGCTTCTGCTGTGCTTTTTTGCAGGGCGAGTGCTTCTGCACTTCCGTGGACGCTGCCGATCTAGTATTCTGTACGCAGTGCAGAGTTGGCCGCCATTCTTGTGCTAGGTTGTTTTTTCATATTCAACTGAGCTGGTTTTAGCTGAAAGTAAACCCTGATTAATCACTGTTAATGCAAACTGTTCCCTTTGCCAAGTGTTAGGGTTAAATGCAATCACATGTTTGTGATTAGAAGTGGTAAATAATCTCTTGGTATTTTAAAGGCAATTTAGTTTATGGAAATGAACGAATTTGCTGGTTAGAGTCACAGAACCATTTGCCCTACCTTGTTTTGGGTGAGTCAAAATGAGGAGTCATCTGCTGGGGGTGAAGTAAGACCAATTTCAATTTGAAAAGGCCTCATTGTTGCAAGGGGTAATGTGTCACTGTGACTGTTAGTTTTAGGAATAAAAAAAAAAAAAAAATGCAGAAAGATGGTGCCTAGGAAGCTTGGTGTTCCTGAAAGCTGTGCTTGTGCAATCTGACTGGAAAAGAGTGAAATAACTGAAAGAAACTGTAACGTGAACAGCATTTGCTTGGAGTCCTTTCAGAGACTAAAAGGTAAACTCCCAAAAATCCTTATCAGCCAAAAAGTTTACTTTTGTAGAGTAGTAGGGACATGATGAGGTCTGTTCCCTTGCCTCAGCTACAGCTATGTCATTGTTTGCCTAATTGCCCGAAAGGGCTGTAGGGCAGAAGACTCTGGTCTGTGTTTTAGTGCTTCCCTGTCCTTACTGCTAGCAAGTCTCCTACCATATTCTCCCTCTGTATCTCTTGCTGCCTTTTGTCAGGCCACAGAGAACAGGTTATTTTCCTTCTATGCAAGAACCTTTTACATGCCTAAAGTTTGTTATTGTTCCTCTTTCAGTCATTGCTCCTTCTCTAGTTAAAATTCTATTTCTTTGCTAGACGTAACCTTTCTGGAGCCCTTCTGCTCTCCTGTGATTCACTGCTCTGGCTGTAAATGCTGAGCAGAGCTAGACTAGTTCACGTGGCTCATATGCTGTGCTGTAGCTTATGCCCAAGTGTTGTGGTTTGGGTTTTCCTGCAGCAGCATGATATTTTTATCTCTCAGCCTGTGCTCCCAGACTCCCTTTTGTGCAAACTGTTTTGAAGAACAGCTTTGAAGCTGTTTCCCCCCATCTTTTATTCATGTAATAAGCAAGAATTACTTGCCTGTAATGCATGTAAAATTCTGTGGTCTGGTCTACTGACTTTCATCCTCTATTACTGAGAATGTTTCTCTGGCTTCTGGTGATCAATTTGAGCTCTGTTCTTGTCCAACCCACTTTCTGTTGGAGATCTACTAGGCTAGGACTGCTCAGAACTTGAGAAATTTTTCTCTTTCTACAGCAGGCCATTGCTGACTGATTTCTGGGCTTTTTATTCATCCCATGGTTGCTTCATGAATCCAGTTTCTTTGCCAGCTTATGAAAATGAAGGTATGTATAGCCTTTCTGAAGACGAGTCAAAAAAATGTCATGCTAAATTGCCCTTACTTAATGATAGGGTAATTGAGAAGTTTTCTGTTTTAGCCTGCAAGTTCTCTGACTTGCTCTCAACCCTGCGTTGTTCCCATAGTCACAGCTACCTGTGTGAGGAAGGTAGGTGCATAGCACCTGCCTAAGCAGCTCAGAAATTCAGGAGCGGAATTGAGGGTGACAAAGTCCCCAGAGCCTTGTAGGCATCTTCAGAGCCTAAATACACGTTTCTGGTGGCCAGGGCCCTTGCAAGGTACAGCGGCAGGTGGTTCTTGCCTTTTGCATTGATCCGGTGGTGGCAAGGACGCGCCTCCAGGAGATGGCTCCGAGTCCCATGTCCTACACGAGTCCATTTGTCACTGTCTGTCCTTCTGGGGCTGGGACAAACTCTCCTCATGCTTGTGAAACAGCACTGCTGTGTGCAAACCGGTGAAAACTTAATGGGACAGGAAGCAGAGCAAGGATGAGGGTGTATGACTACAACCTGGGAGCTGAAGCAGACAAGGGTTTTTTTGAGTGTTTGATTTAATTACAGCTCAATGCCAGAACAAATAGAGAATTACATATATTTTGGGAGTGAAGACAGGAACCCAGGACTTCTCTTCCCAGACATTGAGCCTGTTACTGGTTAACCTCCACTTCAACAATAAAAAACATCTTGGCAGTTGTTGGTGAGACAGCAGGAAGAGCTGGAATGGCCAAAGGAAATGTCAAAGCTCCTCTTCTTCTAGCATGAAAAGTGGCAAAATTATAGGCTATCAGAACATTCATCTGCTTTTGATATGTTGTGTGTATTTTGAGAAGGAGGGGGCAAAGAAGGGTTTGCTTTATCATGGAAAGGTGTTTCGTTTGTGGGGTTTTTTTGTCTGTCTTCTAGCAAGCATGAACTGGGATTTGGCCAGTTTTCAGCAGCACCGCTTAAACCTCTCAAATATAGCTGCTTGCATAACTAATGTTTGTAAATCAGCCTCTGGTTTTGTTGTCTGGGATTTTAATTAGCCTTAGAAATTTTCTGCAGGGCATTTGTTACCAAAAAAATGTAGACAACTAAAGCGTCCTTACCCGCTTAGTGCCAGAAATCCAGTGCTTTCACGTTTGTACTTGTTCCACTTATTGCTCAAGTGTATATAGCTCTGCCAAATGCTCGTCCTGAGCAAAGTTTAATTTGAAGGAGGCCAAACTGAAAATCATTTACAAATTGGTGTAATATGTACTCTGAAATGTGCAAAGAAAATACATAAGACATTTCATAAAATAGTATCAGCTTGTTTTTTGCATCATAACCTTACTGGAGGTGAAGAAGTGAGAAAAGCAAGCTCAGAGAATGCCCTTTCTGTACCTTCCCGGTATTTCTCAAGTACTTTTCTTACTCTGTAGTAGTTAGAGGTAAGAGTGTGGAAATGGCATTCCTTTGGCGATGCTTTTTGCTGGTGTAATTGAAATTTATTTTTAAAATGGTACTTGAAAGAGATTTATATTGCCTATCCAGAGGGTTTAGGTTTCTTTAACAAGAGCTATACAGCAATAAAATTTTCTAAAGGTATATGTATGTATCTACAAAATGTTACTTTAAGCATTTGGCTGTAAAGGATTAATCTGTCTCCATCATATTGCTTGCACATATTTTTGTGAAGTAGCTTCTGATGTTTCTTTGCATCAGGTATATGAAAGGCTTTTCTAAATGAATAGTGATTCTGCATTCAGTGCTGTGCAAACACAGGGAGGTTATCTAAGCACCCAAGAGCCAAACCAGCATTCCTCGGGCACCCAGGGCAGCCCTTGGCTTCACTGGAAGTTTGGACTGCAGAAATAATGCCCAGTTGTGCTGGGCACCCATGCACTCTGGCAGGAGAAATGTGCATGGTTTTTTGGCATGAAATCATGGAAAATACATATACTGGCATAAAAAAAAAAAAATTACTCTGGATAAATGTAAACCAAGATTTAAAAGCACCATGTGAAACACTGAAAGGCAAGAGCAATGTAGTGAACAGTGGGGAGATAGGAAAACATAAAGCAGGTTTTCCTTTATTTTTAGTTTTCTACTGGCAATCTTGGAAACCACGCTTATGATGTGGTTGTCCTTTATCTGGGCTTCTTTTCAGCTGCAAAAACGTGAATTTATGTCATCAAACAGTATTTTTCTAAAGTTAAAAATTACCAAAATAGATTACTTGCTTAGCAGGACCCAAATGCCTATCGGTCATGACCTGGTGAAGAGCTGCACATCTTGAACCTGTTAGAAGTTTCCATGATGAAGCAATCTCTGTTTTATTTGTTTGGTTTTGTTTTTTTTTTTAACAGCAATGTTAGTGGATTAGTTAAGTAGAAAAACAGCCTTAGTTGTGTCTTTTTTGTTTGGTTGGGGTTTTTTTTTTGGTTTTTGCTATAGCTGCTGCTCGTTCCCTTCTCATCTTTTCCATCTTTCTGGCAGCAGATGGAGCCAGAAGCTCAACTTTAAGCTGAGAGCTTACTGCTGGGGGTAGTTTTTGGAGTTTGTGGCTCCTGGGGGTTTGCTTTTCGTCTTTACTAATACAAAAATGTGACGAACTTCGGTCTCCTCTCTTAACTTAAGCGCATAACTTGGCGCTGAGCACTCTTGTGGCTAATCTTGAATGAAGGGGATCGTAAAAAGAATACCTGTATCTCAAGTGTGGCACATTCCGAGCTGTCAGTGTATTGACTGATAGGGATGTAGGGGCAGCTGAGAAGAGGGAAAAAAGAGGCTTTCCCTCTCACAGCACTGAAGTGGAGCAAATCAGAAGGTGGAGGTTTGAGACAAAATTTTAAATATTTCTTTAAACTGCGGAACTGCTTTCCCTGGGCCTCCCTGT